ATTAAATTCTTACTAATTAAAAATATATTAAACCTAATAACGAGTAAGTTTTAATAGAAAATGCAACTGAGTTTATTTGAGTCGCCTGCAGTATGCTTGATAAGACTAGACCTACACACCCCCTTTAATGCTTGACAAGACTAGATCGGCACTCTGTCTACAGTAACTGATACCCTGCATGCCTACCATGACCCTGCAGGCCTACAAGATTCTTACTAAAAAGAATAGTAACATTAAAAATATTATGTTTATATTTATTAACCCAATAAGAAGAAGAGGTTGAAAATGTTATAACTGAACACCATATAATGCATTTTTGAAATTAAATGTTTGACGTTACTTGTAGTATTATACTTGAGTCGCCTGCAGCATGCTTGACAAAACTAGACCTACACGCCTCCCTTAATCCATGTCCTCTGCATGCATGACGACACCACAACATGCACTTCCAAGACAAGACTAAACCTGCATGCCTCACATGCATCAAGACATTTGCTCTGCATGCATTTATAAGTCACATGCATTATTGACACTTGCTCTGCATGCATTTACAAGTCATATGCATTATTGACACTTGCTCTACATGTATTTACAGGTCACATGCATTTGTGGATTATAAATAAAGGTTCTTTAACTATCAAACTCGTCTCATCCCAGCAAATTCTTCTCATCCTCATACTCTCAAACTCTTCACATACAAGCAAACTCTTCTCATCCTCATACTCTCAAACTATGCTCATCCCAGCAAAATCTTCTCATCCCAGCTCTCAAACTCTTCTTCACCCAGCAAATTCTTAAATCACAATGTCTCTACTCACAATGGGAAACTCTCACAGAGGCATAGTTGAGAACATCGCCGAGTTTGTAAGTTTTTTTTTTGTCTATGGTTACAATCTTTAGTTCTCCTTTAAAACTAATGACACTTAATTTCTTTTGTAGGATGCATAAAGGTTTCGATGTCGTGTGTATGACTACATACCACATGACCCTTTCATAGAGGGATATTGTTGGCTCATAATTTTCGATACTAGTCGAGACCGGAGCTATCTTAGGTCAAAATTATCAATACTTGGTGTGTGAGAGGGTTTCGACCCAATCAAGGAAATCTTCAAGTCGAAGGAAGATGGACCAAGGTGCCAAAAAACGCTAAGTGTTGGAAAATGCTCGACAAAAACCATGCTAAGGAAAACACGAAGACGGTTTCGCCAAATTGGAGGGAATTACCAAATATTCAAAATTCAAATCAAGCAAAAGAGAACGTGTGAGCGGTTGGAATAACAAAGAAGCGCCAAAAGAGCATGTTAAAAAGTCTCAACCGCCATGTAGTAGTTACTATATAGCACTATAAATAGGTGTAAATTTTATGTAATAAGGGTGTTCATTCATTTTTGTACTAGTTCATACAACTCAAAGTACCCGCGTGTAGAGAAACGAGTTAACGAGAATGTACGTGATACAACACCAAATCCTTTCTTATTAATGCAATTCATCTTTACAACTTACTTGCCATTTTTGAACTTTCAGTTTTACATTTAAACTGCTCTTTACAATTCTGCTGCACATTTACTTTCAAAGATCCCCTGGTCGAACGCGAAGTTCTAATTAGAGTTATTTTCTAAGCAATTTACTTACTTGCATTTTTATCTTCAAAAGTCATTTATTTCTCAAAGGAATTATAGTCGAACGTGGAGTTTGGCGGTAGTTTCTTCGCCTTCACATTACAGTTGTTACTTTTCAAAGCCTTTACTTTCGACTTTACTTTTCAAAGCCTTTACATCATCGCACTTTACATTCTTGATCTTTTTACGTACTTAGCACATGTCCTAGGATTTAGTATGGTTGATCCTGCAAGTTAAGTCAATTGCATCTTGAATTGATAGACCAACGGTTGTTTACCAAAATTCACAGTAAATAGATACCTTGAACAATGCGGGTTTGGTGATTTAATTAAGATCAAATCATACTCACTTGATGCGAAGTTCATTCTAGCGTTGTTAGAACGCTAGAGACCAGAGACACATACATTTCACCTACCTTTCAGTGAGTGTACTGTGACTCTTCAGGATGTCTACATGTTGCTCGACCTACACATCAATGGTAAGGCCGTCAACAACAAAGTTGGTGTTAACTACCAACTTTGTGAAGATTTATTGGGCGCCCCTCTTTGTATGGACACAATTAAGGCATAACGCGAGGGTCGCCCAAGGGGTCAGGGAATAAATCTTAAATACCTCAGACAACACTACAACAATATTGTCTTAAGTGAGGAGTCCACCGAGTATGAGAAAATACTCAAAACTCGGTGCTATATTATGATTTGTTTGGTCATTTTTTATTTCCAGAGGGCACTGGAAATACCGTAAATATTATGTATTTACCATTGCTACAAAACATAAACAAAGTATGTAAATATAGTTGAGGATCAACTGTCCTCGCCCATCTATATAACGCACTGTGTAAAAATTCCAAAAAAAAAATCCTGTACTTTTTATGGCTGCGCCTATCTCCTTCAAGCGTGGGGTTGGTCTAGGATGCCAATGCTTGCTCCAGTAAACCGTAATCCATTTACATTCCCATACATTAACAAGTAAGTTTCTTTTCAAGACTATTTAACAACTAAAGTTTCATTGTAAGTTAATAATTTGTAAGATGTGTCTTAGAGTCTAACTTATTTGTGTTTCTTTTTTTAGGTGGTCTGTTCCGGGGATGAATTATCAAAGATGTTCCAGGAACTTCATAATCGTGTACCGGAACCTCATTGAACATATTGGGCCAAACGATGTAATTTATCTTCCTTTACTTTGTCTAACTTATATGCATTAACTTGTCTAACTTTGTCTAACTTAATTTATCTACCTTTATTGTAGTTTGTAAGGATGCCGTACGAGGGTCTCGACCACCAGCTCGACGCTGATGATGCTGCTGTGTGGACATCAAAAACACCCATCATTAGGTTCACTACGGTGGAGATGCACCAAAGTGACCGGGTGAAGCTACAATTTGGGATGCATCAGAATATTCCAGATGCTCCAACTTCAATGGGACAATGGCATCAACAACAGGTAGACTCACAGTGGAGTGTCGGTCATTGGAAGGAGTTTGTGAAGGAGATGTGTCAACATTGGAAGAACAAAAGGCAACACATCTTAACCGACCATATTGTGGAAGGGGTTAGGCCAAGTCATCAATATATGACTTGGTTTATGTCGGTTACAACATCCTAACCATTTCTGTCTGAGCCGACCTATTTGATTGACCCAAGGCAACATGCTTCTTCCTCAAACACACAACAACAACCCAGTGCCCAACAACCACAACAACAACCTTACCATAACCCATACATGCCACCAAATGCCCAACATCAACAACAACACCCTTACGATGAGCCGTACATGCCACCAACCCAATCACAACAACAACCATACCAATATAGCCCTGATACGTCTTTTGACCCTACCCCCTCCACCTATAGCCCAGATAACTCATTTGACCCTACCCCCTCCAATTATCCACTGTTTGACTACCAAACCCCACAACAACCAACATGCCGTTTTCAACCCGATTCGACTTACGAATTCAGACAACCATACCGTCCACACTCCACCCAACCTCCCTGACAATCCTACGAAAATATGGGCATTGGGCTTAACTACGGAAGTGCCGTTGATAGTGGACCTCCCGACTATTGAGGTCAAATGTTTCAAAATTTATCTAATACGCCGGGGCCGTCCCAACAAATCCCTCTTCCACAACTCAACACACAAAGACCGGGCACACCTCAGCAACCTCGTGGTAAACCTCATCACCGCGCTCATCCTCCACATTGTGGCACCAATGTTCGTTTGGATAGAGTCGATCATTAATTTTTTTTGATCAATTGTAATTTTTATTCTATTGTAAATTAATATATTTTAATATTTATTCTATAATTTACTATTTTTAAAGATTATTTACATTATTTAAATTTTAATTAATTATGAAAAACAAAAAACATAATTTAATATTTATTCCATTTATTATTTTTTATATAATTTAAATTGAAATTAATTATAAAAAAATAAAAATTAATTGACAGTTAAAACATAAATGCACAAACCCTAAAAAAAAGTAAATGGGTCAAGTCGCCAAATAGATTGGCGAGTCCACTCCAAATGACACAACCTGGCGAGTCCACTTCTGATAACCTGAATTGTCAATCCAAATGACGACCCAAGATAGAAACATTTTCAATTTTGTAATTTTTTTCAATTATTTATTTAATTCGTATATTTTTTTTTGAATACACTATTTATTCTAAAAAGAAAATTCTTTTTTGGTCTCTTACAAGTGAAAAAAAGATTGGTTTTGTGAAAGAAGAAAAAAAACCTAAGAAACATAACAAGTTCACACGAAAAGAGGGGTACTCGTGTGAGACTTTGGGCTGTGTTTTGGGATTTCTTACTTTTATTCACACCAAAAAATCAAACCATTGTTTTTGGTTTGGTTTCATCTTCACAGCGTGAGCTGAAATCAGATATTCAGACTTCTTTCTGTGTAAAGACGCTATCTCTCAGCTCTGATCCGGTAATCCTCTCTCAATCGATGTCACGTCCACATACCGTTTTACCCTTCAAACCGGGTCCTGTCTTGATCCGCCGGTTTCAGTAATTTCTTCTATTTTTATAACATTCACGAATGTTTTAGGTGATTTTTCGTGTTTTACAGTGTTAATCACGATGTGTTATTTTATTTTAGGATGTTTGTAAAAAGGCAGGGTTTTTCCTTTTGGGTTTTGTTTTTTACTATGATAGGAAAAATGGGGTTATTCTATATATTATTTTGGGATGGTTACTTATTACTTTGTTTTGAAAAGTTGAAGGTAGCGTACTAGGAAAAAGAGAGAAATTTTATGCATTTGTGTTGAATTTGGTCAGATGATTATTACACATTGAGACTATCTTGAATTTTTCATCTGATTTGGAGTTTGGGTTACAATGCTTTGCTTCTGCAGTTCAAAGGAGATGGCATCTCCACAGAATGTCGAGATGGAGGCTGCCAATTTTCTGCATAAACTTATTCAAGATTCTAAAGATGAGCCAGTAAAGCTGGCTACTAAACTCTATGTGGTGCGTGTTGTTTTCTCTTAAATGAATTTCTTTAACTATATTTTTCGACCCGTTGTATAGATTAGACATACTTGCAATTAATTTGGTGAGTGTTTCAGATACTTCAACATATGAAATCGAGCGGGAAGGAAAATTCAATGCCATATCAAGTTATATCTAGGTAAAATATCTGCAACTTAGCATTCCCACTTGTTTGTATATAGGAATTCAATTATCTACTAGGGCTCTTTTGTAGTGTGCTAAGACAGTAAAGTTGAGAATCTAATACAGATTGTGTTTAAGTATGCACGGTTGCTTCTGAAATTATCCTCTCACAGAAGTTAAGATATCAATTATCGGTGTGATGGAAAATGAAATAACCACGGTGAAGGTTTGTTGAATTGCATTTTGTGGTGTTGGTGAACGAAGAACAATGGATGTTTGTTGGGCTTTCGAGCCTCTTTCAAAACAGAAGAGTGGTTGAATTTGTTTGGCCACATTCTGTAGTCCAGCCTGAGTAAGATACTTGAAGCTCTCGGCTACTTCCACAAGAACACATTTATTTGTTTGAGTTTGCAAGTAAATCATAAACTTAATTATTAAAGCATCTCGTGGACTTAATTTTCTATGTAGTGCCTTGGTGACTGTAGTGAAGCTCATACTCATCATTCTTAGCACCAAACCATATTTTGTCTGTATTAGTATTACTACTTTGGTCCAATTTTTCAACTTCATGCATATCACTGTTTCTTCTTACTTAATGTTGCCTGTCTGTTATAGGGCGATGGAGACTGTCATCAACCAACATGGTCTTGATATTGAAGCATTAAAGTCATCACGTCTTCCTTTGACCGGCGGTCCTCAAATAGGTAATTATGCTTGTTTCATATTGCTTAAAGAGTATTTGTGATATTTTTTAAGTTAATTTAATTTCATGTGTGATTTATGCAGGATCTTCTTCACAAGCAGTGGGTAGTGCAAATGATTCGAGAGCGGGCTTGGCTGAGAATGAGGCTTCTAAAATTGAACCCTTTGCTGCTGGTCGACCACCAATTGCCCCAACTGGCGGAGCTCCTGAATATTATCAAGGAACTGTAGCTCAGAGGAGTAATCAATCCTTTGATCAAGGAAGTCCAACTAGTTTGGATTCTAGGTCTGCTAACTCACAGTCACAAGACAGACAGGTGAATCAAAAGGATGGTAAGAAAGCTATCCCAAAAAGAGAGAGGGGAGATTCAACATCACCTGGGGAAATGCATGTTGACAGTTCTTCTCTAGGAGAACCTCGCAACACTGGTGTTAATACAAGGAAGGGGAAAATGACCAAGACCGAACCATCAGATGGTATTCAAGCTAAAAGTGGTGAAATGACAAACTTCAACATGGCTCCAAATAATACTCAAATGGAAAATATTTCGACTTTTTCTAGTAACATGAAAACAATGATTAGGGCAAACCAAGAAGGTCATCTTTTATTGGCAAAGCAAACCGATTTGACAAAGATTGGCAATCCAATGGCGCGGGCTCCAACTTCAAAGTATCCAGAAGACGTGGAAGTTTCCTCTGCACATATTGCTCCAGGGAAGCAGCAGCAAGGTGATTCTTTACCTTTTACACATGTGATTAGAGATGCATGAATCAAAATAAAGATGGACAACCTTTTGAAAAACCTCAGGTTCCCTAGTTTTCTCTAATGTTCTTTCTGGTAATATGATGGCAAAAATTCTAATGCAGGGGTTCTCACCTCCATCCTTTGGTGTACTAGTAAGGAATTGGTAAAATTTTCAAGTATTATTCACCATTCAACTTGATCAAACTACCATCCTCCTGGGTTTAAGAACTGAAAATAATCTATAATATTTTACTCAACCGCCAATCCCTACTATTTGGCTGGTGAAATTTGAGAGAAGACTTTCTAGAAGAGTTCATTTTATATATTAATATAATCAATTGATTGAAGAATTTATTTGAGTGGAGATTGGGTCTTATACCTAAGTGCTGTTCATAAGTTAATTTTGAATGCTATGGGATACTTTTCTTTCCATATCTGAATGTTTCTACTTATGTTAAATCATGGAGAGAATGATTGAATCAATTTTACTAGAAAAAACGGTAATTTAGAATTTTGTGCCCACAATTATTCATAGAAAAGCATATTGAATTTCAGGTGCTTATGCTAGGGTTCATGGAGGGATGGCGGTTCCTGCTAATGTGTCTCCAATGAACGAACAAGTTATCTCAAGTTCAACTACTTTATCTGATGGACATCAAATATCTCAGGTACTTGGTATTCATTAATATTTGCTTCTAGGTCTGTCTCGCAGCTCTACTTTCTTTCATCTTGCTTAACTCATTTAATTTAGTTTAAACTTATTTACTTCTGTTGTTCTTTTTAACTATGGCTTGTATATGATTGCTTGATCAGATAATTTTATTGGCAGACTGGCAGGCAAAATAGTGGCTCCGAAATGACTATGCTTAGACAAGGTGTTCACCCTAGAGATACAGGAAAATCCCCAGTTCCTGCAGCAGCTGCATCATCTACTATGCCTTTCAAAGAAAACCAGTTGAAACAGCTTCGAGCTCAGTGCCTTGTTTTTCTAGCATTTAGGTAGATATTATTCTGCCATCTCCTTTTTTATTTGAAAAGATGGACAGAATTTCATTTTGAGCTATATTGTGAAACACTATTGTTTTATGTGCAGAAATGGTTTACCCCCAAAGAAACTACATCTCGATGTCGCATTTGGAACCTTCTTTTCTAGAGAAGGTGACTGATGTTTATATTTTACATAACATATCAAAGATCTTCACTGGCTAACTGGTATATGCAATGTGATGTTAACACAGATGGTTCTAATAAAGATCTGAATGAACCCAAAGGAAAATCACAGTCTTTTAATGAACCTGGCAACACACCAGGGGTCATAGTGCCATTTGGAAGTTCGAGCAATCTGAGACAGACTGATAAAAACCCCTCAGGGTCCTCTTCTGCTGGAAAATTTCTAGAGGCTGAGTCTTTGTCGAAGGGAACTGAGAGCCCAAGAATGTTAGAAGATAAAGGTAACCTTCATTCTGACATCCAGACACCTTCAGAAGATAGGAAACATCTAGCCGCAAAAAGAGATGTTGAAAGACGAAACCAAGAAAGAATGGCTGCACAATCTTCTTCAGCCACTCCATATCAGCAGAAAGATTCTTCAAGTACAAGGGGTATTGTAGTTGGTAACAGTCATTTGAATGATAGTGACAATGGTATCCTGACAGCTGGAAGGACTAACCAGCATTCTGTTCTAGGCCCAAATAACTGGACTGGTTCAAATCCACATGTCTCTCCTATTCAACATGAGTTGCCTATAGAAAGAAGAGAAAACATTCCTAGTCAGTTTCAGAATGTTAGTAACAACTCTGGTTCCTGGAATCACAATTCTATTAATCAATTGACTTCTTATTCTTTAAAAGAGCACTGGAAACCTGTTCCCGGGGTTGATAGCAATTCCCATGGAGTACCCGTGATGAAGGATGGAAATGTATTGGGCAAAAACGTTTCTGCAGGTGAAAGCCATAGTCAATTATGTCATGTTTTTTGTTTGTTGAAGATCATTTATGTCATGTTCTTGCAATCAGTTTGTTGATGCTTATCTTTTTTCTGTGTCACTTCAAGTGTTAATGATAGATGGATTTCTGAATATTAACAACAATTTGTTAGACTTCTTATTATGGCAGTTATGGGTAGTTATATTTATTGATGTCAGTTATGTGTAGCAGTTATGGGTTGTATGTGTTTCTGTTTTAAAATAAATATAGAAAGGAAAGGAGAAATTGATTATGGAATATTTTTGGAACGGTTTTGGGAGGGAGAGACCAAACTCTTGAATTCTTGGAGGGAGAGACCAAGACTCTTGAATTTCTTTGGTTAGTTTATGTGTGAATTATGTATTTTCTGCAGTGTTTGTAATTACTTGTCTGTTGTAAACATATTCTGCCATAAATAAAAGTCAGATTCTACAATTAATTTGCATTTTGGTACTAGTTTCTTTCATACTTAATTGCTGATTTATCAAAACTGTTCCAGTTGATTATGCATCTAAACATGACATCTTTTTGCTACAGAGCAAGGAGGGAATGAGAGGTTAGTATCAACTGATTTTCCATCTTCTAAAAGATTTACAATGTCAGAGAGATGTATTATGGATCGACAGAGAAAGAGGCTTCTAGTTGGCCAAAATTGGGTGCAAAAACAGCAGAAAGCAAAGGAAAGAATGACTAAATGCTTTCACAAGTTAAAGGTTTGTTTTAATTTTAACTTTTAGTTTTTCTAGTTCAGTGATTAATATGTTCTACACACACTATATGATTGGCAATAATTTGAATGTTGCATAAACATTTTTGTCTGCTGTTCATTCCTTGTGATATAGGAAAATGTGAGCTCATGCGAAGATATTTCTGCTAAAACAAAAAGTGTCATAGAGTTGAAAAAACTTCAACTATTAGAACTCCAACGCCGACTTCGGAGGTGATTTGTATTCTTATGAGTTTGATATTTTCTTCAACTCACAATTTGACAATATATTTTTCCTTTTCGGGCAGTGATTTTCTGAACGATTTTTCCAAACCAATTATGAATGAGATGGAACATTTGAAATCAATTAAGAAACATAGGCATGGTAGGAGAGTCAAACAACTTGAAAAGTATGAGCAGAAAATGAAGGAAGAGCGACAGAAACGGATTCGTGAGAGGCAGAAGGAGTTTTTCAGTGAGATAGAAGTTCACAAGTATGTGCCTTTCTACCTTTTTCAACATGCTTCTTCCACCTCTTCAAATTTTCCAATGCATTGTAATTGGATAATTATAATTCACTATCTGTACTCTTTGCCTCAAATACTTGCATTATTAATTTATTTCTTGAAATGTAGGGAAAGACTTGATGATGTATTCAAAATCAAGAGAGAACGGTGGAAGGGTTTCAATAAATATGTAAAGGAGTTCCATAAAAGAAAAGAACGTATTCATCGTGAGAGAATTGATCGAATTCAGCGGGAGAAGATTAATTTGCTAAAAATAAACGATGTCGAAGGTTATCTTCGAATGGTGCAGGTAGGTTTATTTCTTATTATATTAGTAGACACAGACAGATCCATAAATATTGACTTGTGGGTGCAAATATATATTTTAAAATTATTGTATGGATAATCATTTTTCAATGCTTCTACAAATATTTATATTTAGATAAGTGATCAAAAAATTTTCTTTTTACATTGTTGGAAATTTGAGTCTTCAAGAAAAGTTACTTTTAATTGTCATAGTTGTGTACAAAATCAAAATGAACTAAAATAAATACATCATTGAATGCAAAATATTTTATACCAATATTTAAAAAAAAAACTAATTTAGTAGGGGCTATATTTTAATATTAGCTTGAATAAAAATTAAATTGATGAAATATTACAAAACAAATAGTATAAGAAATTACAATTGCGAAACATTATTGCCCCCATTGTATACTATGTGCACCTGTCCCTGTTAGTAGATACAAGATATGCATTGAAGTCCGTGCTTCATTGGTTTGCAATCTTACATTGAATAACGTTTTCATTGCTACATCAGGATGCAAAATCAGATCGTGTGAAGCAACTTCTTAAAGCAACTGAAAAGTACCTTCAAAAGCTTGGGTCCAAGCTACAAGAAGCAAAGAATGCTGCAGGACGTTTAGGGCTAGATGTTGATGATGCAGGAACTACCAATTTTCTTGAGAATAGTGAAACTACTTTGGTTGACGAGGATGAAAGTGATCAGGCAAAGGCAAGTCCGCTGGACACATCCCATTATTAAGTTAAAAGTTTTATTTCTTAATTATGTGAGTGATTTTTTCTAATTCTGTTTTACAGCATTATATGGAAAGTAACGAGAAGTATTATAAGATGGCCCACAGGTATCAGTTCTGCTCTTATGTACTCTTTAAAAGGTTTCTTGGTAGTGTAAGATGGTTATCTTGAATTTTTATTATTAAAAGATGAAAAGCACAGGAGAGTGAGGAGTTTTGGTGGTTTATTTTTAGCTTGGAAGATTTTAAGTGGTCAACTGTTCATGGTCTATTGGTTCCATCAATCCGGAAATATATTTTTGAATTGCATGCTAATACTATGTTGATTAGTTTTGATGACTTGATTCATGCTAAGCAATTTTTTTCTTCCTGCAGTGTAAAGGAGAGCATAGCAGAGCAGCCATCTATTCTGCATGGTGGAAAATTAAGGGAGTATGTAAAAACTGTTTTTTTAATATATATATTTTTTATTTCATATAATTTACACAATGCATATTTGTGTCTTCCATTGGAGATCCAGTTTTTTATTTTATTGCATTTAGTTGAATTGTCAGATTACTGTTGTAATTTAGGGTCATCTCTGTCACAGCAGGGGAATTCTATCCTTCTCATTTTACATTTGTTTGCTAGTTTTCTTAGATAATCCAGTTTTATGAGCTAAGGGGTTGGGCTTACATTCTTTTTTGTTTGCTTGGGGTCTGTTGACTTACATGCCTTGTGATTTCAAATTTTGTCTTCAGATATCAAATGAATGGTCTGAGATGGTTGGTTTCACTATATAACAATCATTTGAATGGAATCCTTGCCGATGAAATGGGCCTGGGTAAAACAGTTCAGGTGATCAATTTTGTTAACGAATAAGCTTTATATATATACTTACCTGGGTTCCTATGTTGTTCCTTTTGTCCTTTTTCCATTATTAGAATTTGATAGTATGTCATTTACGATAGATCTCTTTTGGATAATTTATTGGTGTTTTTTTGGAGTTCTATGGTTATGTTACAGTGCATGTATATATATGCTAAAATATTATGGTGCATATTCTGTCCTAGAAAGATTGGAAGAACATTTGTGACTTGTATAGATAAAATCATACTGTTCTTTTATTTTTTAGGTGATTTCTCTAATTTGCTACCTGATGGAAACCAAAAATGATAGAGGACCATTCCTTGTTGTCGTCCCCTCTTCAGTTCTACCCGGTTGGGAGTCAGAGATAAACTTTTGGGCTCCCAGTATTCACAAAATTGTCTATGCTGGATCGCCGGACGAGAGACGTCGGTTATTCAAGTAATTGAACTTTACAATATTAACCCCCTTCAGCTGTTTGATACTTATTCTTGTGTATGTTCCTTATTAATTCTTTCATATTTTAGGGAAAGGATTATTCACCAGAAATTCAATGTTCTTTTGACAACATATGAATATCTGATGAACAAACATGATAGACCAAAGCTAAGCAAAGTACATTGGCACTATATAATAATTGATGAAGGCCACCGCATAAAGAACGCCTCTTGCAAGTTGAATGCCGAGTTGAAACACTACCAGAGCTCTCACAGATTGTTGTTGACTGGAACACCATTGCAGGTTTTTCTTTTTTCTTCTTTTGTTTTCTTTTCTTGTGTCTCTCATTGCAGTTTATTTACTTAGCATTTCTGTTTTTACCATTTGAATTTTTTCAATAATCTTCTTCAAACATATGCTGTGCTTTATCTTGGGAATGGCAGTTTCTGCTCAGCCCTTCTTCCAGGCTCATATAATGCTCTTTGTTTCACTTTTATCCTTTTTATCTAACATTTATAGTTTGTAACTGCTGGTTTCTTTATGTGCAGAACAATCTTGAAGAACTATGGGCACTGCTTAACTTCTTGTTGCCTAACATTTTCAATTCGTCAGAGGACTTCTCTCAATGGTTTAATAAGCCATTTGAGAGTACCGCAGATAACTCACCCGATGAAGTAAGTTATGGATCAATCCTGTCAATATAGAACTTGCCCAGAGTTTTTGTTCTAATTTAAGCTTCCTTGTTTTTGTATGCTTATTTTGTATTTTCTGTTTGTAACCAGGCTTTACTGTCTGAGGAGGAGAATCTCTTGATCATTAATCGTCTGCACCAAGTTTTAAGACCGTTTGTACTTCGGAGGCTTAAACACAAGGTCATTAATGCTTAACTTAAAACTTAATTCCCACTTCTCCTTGAATTTTCGGAAACTAGGCTATGACCACACACATCTTATGAGTTATAATTCTTGTTTTGATTCTTTTGATCGGCTGTTCGTTCTAGTAGTACTTGATAATTCTTTAGCATTCAGTACCCTGTGCTGCTCAAACATTTTTAAATGCTCAGTCAGACAACATAAACAATTTCAAACAATTTTTTGAAGTTATTTGAGTTTTATTCCATTTCTATTGTAATATAGAATTTAATGCATGCTATCTGTAAGCTTGAATTGTTTTATATATGTGGAAAGTGTATTCTCCATATTTAAGCCTTCTGATGCAATTGTTTCCGTTATGTGTTATCCCACCGTGATCACCACCTTGACTCTTCATCACTTTGGATGACTTGGAAATATGATATTGAAAACGGCAATATAGCTTGTATGCCTTACTGATATTAGCTTTTGAAATCGTCATCACGTGTTGCTGTTTTTGTGTTTCCAATGTTTTCTTTTAGGTTGAAAATCAGCTTCCTTCGAAGATTGAGAGACTTATTAGATGCGAGGCTTCTTCATATCAAAAGCTTTTGATGAAGAGAGTGGAAGATAATCTTGGTGCTATTGGCACTTTAAAGGTGTCTTTATAGTACTTTTTGCTTTTTTTTTTGTTAAATGATGTAATTGACCATTTGATAGTGGACTAAGAATTTATATCCCTCTTTTTTTTCTTTTGGATTAAAATAGCTTTCCGCACACTGTAACTTCTTTAGTTGTCTAATTTACATTCCCAATTGTCAGGCTCGGTCAGTACACAACTCTGTCATGGAGCTTCGAAATATATGCAATCATCCATATCTCAGCCAGCTTCACACAGAGGAGGTATGTTCATATCCTACATATTGTTCTTCTCTGACACTACTGTATTTATTGATGATTGGATTATGTTTTTGAGTGCAACTCACTCAGAGACAGCATCTTCAAGATCATTTTTTGTGAATTTGGTTGGATAGTGCTTCTGTTCTTTCTGTGAATTTGAGAGTTTCAAAAACACTTCGTTCTGGTATTTAAATTTTGAGACAGCATCTTCAAGATCATTTTATAAATGGGTAAAAACCTGACAACAAGAAATATCCTAAAAAAGAACTAAGTATGGTGAGGTATAAAGTGGTTTGTGTTTTATTTTTCCCTTGCCCTAACATGTGACCCAACCGAAAATTCTCCTGTCGGACATGACAGGGAATGAGGACATCTGTGTTGCGCAGTACTCCTTGTAATTCACTGATCTTAGTGAGTTGTGTGAATACATGCCATTAGTTTGGCGTAGCAAAAACCACATCATGTTCCATATCTTCCCTTTTTTTGTTTGCTAATCTGATATCAAAGCAAGATTAGCATTTATTTGACTACTACAGCAAGAGGTTAAGTTTTATGTGATTCTATATTTGTTACTATTTTAAGGGAGGGAGGAAACGGGTATGCTACACTGTATGTACAATATGAATTTTTTTTTCCTTTCCATTTACAGGTAGATAACTATATACCTAAGCATTATCTGCCACCAATTATTAGGCTTTGTGGGAAGCTTGAGATGTTGGACCGTTTATTACCTAAATTGAAGGCTACAGATCACCGGGTATGCACAATCCTATATCTTTGTTGCTGTATTACTACATATAACTACTTTCACATTGGTATTGACACATGCTGTTATAACTGTGATGAAGGATATTTTGTAAACATATTCTAGTCTCTTTCCTTTGGAAGCGGAATGTGTATGACAGTTTATGTCCCCGCTTCCAAGTCTATGAAATTACACCGATTCTTATCTTTCGTGAATCTTTTGAAAATTTAATTCTTAATGTTTTACATCATACTGCTAATGCTTTTACAGGTTCTTTTCTTTTCGACGATGACTAGGCTTCTGGATGTTATGGAAGAATACTTAACTTCTAAACAGTATAGATACCTCCGGTTGGACGGGCATACATCTGGAGGTGATCGTGGTGCTCTAATTGACCTATTTAACAAACCTGATTCCCCATTTTTTATCTTTTTACTCAGGTAATTTTAATTATTATTAAAGTACTTGGTGTGGCTGTGAAATAGTAAATTGAAATATTAAATTGGGGAAGGAAAATAAACTTTTTGGGGGGTTTTATTTCCAAGAAATTTGATGCTGTAACTGGAATCACACAATGGAAAGTAGATTTTGGTTGACTGACTTAACGTTGTTACTTATTTTAGGATTAATCTATCTTCATCTTGTGTTTTGCACATTAACTGACAGAATAAACATTTTTCTGATATAAGATCAACTAAACATTGATGAACTCAAGATTTTTATTGCAGTGCTAAGAGGGGAGGTAATATGGGGACTGTTGCCAAACTGAAACTTTTATATTTAAATAATTTATGACTGAAGGACTTTGTTTAAAATGAATCCAACTAGATAAAATTTATCAAATCCATCAGATGTAAAGAATATCAAAAAACTTCAAGAACCAAGTAAGCACTATATTTCTAAATCAGAATTCTGGAAATTATTGAGATGCACATGAAGAAAATGAAAACCAAGTACTTCTCAATTCTCAGATTCCCAGGGCTGTGATGATAATAATTGGTACCGATACCTAATACTCTCTTCGGAATGAAATATAAGCAAAAATATCTAATATTTTTTGGAATGAAATACAAGCAAAATTAGTAACTTCTGTCATATTTAATAATGGAAATGATTGGATTCAAATCAATAAGTTTCACACTAATTGAAACCTCTTGCATAGGATTATGTTGGAAATATCTCCTGCGTATTAGTAATTTTTGGGATATTTCTTCACTTTGTTTCATGATTTTAAGATATACTAAATCTTAAGGACATAACAAACAGACCTATTTCATCTTGTTTTTTTTATTACCTATTTTTCATATTGCTGACATTCATCTATTGTTACAAGCATTCGAGCCGGTGGTGTTGGAGTGAATCTTCAAGCTGCTGACACAGTGATTTTATTTGACACTGATTGGAATCCCCAGGCAATGAATTTTTTAAAAATGATTTTCTTTATGTTTTGTTTGCTTTTATTGCTTATTGTTAATATTATTATGTCGTTGTGGTATGTTTTCAGGTTGATCTGCAAGCCCAGGCAAGAGCTCATAGAATTGGTCAAAAGAGGGATGTTCTTGTTCTCCGCTTTGAAACAGTTAGTACTATTCGTTCTGAGTTCTGTTTGTTATTGTTGGGATTGATATATTTGCATAAATTATGCTACATAGAGCCGCACAAATACTTCATTGATAATTATTGTTAAGGGTCTGTTTGGTTGGGGGTAAATGGAGGGGAGGGGAGGGAATATTTAATAATTTATGTGTTTGGTTCAAATTTTAAGAAGGGGGGGGGGGAGGTAGATGGAGGGGACCAAAATCCCTCCTGAGCCACTTTTTGCTTCCTCCCGATTTGGAGGGGAGGGAAGATATTTGATTTTAATTATAATTATATTTATATATTTACCCTTATTATTTATTTAAATATAAATTTAACTTATAACAATGTTAAAAGTTTTATTTTAAACAAATTTAATCTTTCTTTTTATATTTGTTGTATTTTTATATCTTCATCTTACTATCATTATATCTGTTTAAATTTTTTATTTATTTTTCATATTTTTATTTTAATTTTAGTTATCGTAATGTTTTTGTTTATAATAATAAGGGGACCAAAACTTTAATTTACCCAATTATATATTATAATCATTGCGTTTTTATAAAGTATTTCATGATGATCTCTGATTGAATATTTATATTTCGTCAATAAATTTGTATTTGAATTATAAACGGTAAATATCACAAGTCTTATGATAAAAGTGGAAGGATAAAAAAGTAAGTTAGTTTTAAATTACCTCCCTTCCCCTTGTGAACCAAACATATTTGTAAATAAAATGTCTCCCCTCCCCTCCCCTTTTATATTTTGAACCAAACATATATGTAATTAAAATCCCTCCCCTCCCTTCCTCTTCCCTCCCCTCCCTTTGATAAAAATCCCTCCCCTCCCCTCCCCTCGATTGAACCAAACAGACCCTAAGAGTCTAAGTTTAAATTAAGTCTTAGAGTTTGAGCATAGGCCTAACACGACCCCACAAGATCGCTAGTCAATGTGGGATTTTTAACATTATAAACAAGTGGCTTTAAAACAATTCACCATATTTGAGGTATCTATGCTTCTTATTCCATAGCGAGAATTAAGAATTAATTCAAAAAATTTCAAGTCACATCTCTTGTTGAATATAACATAAATACCTGTTGTGTGGTGGCCATTGTTTCATATGTGCTTGATACTGTCTTAGAACACGTAGAAATTCAAAATTTCAAGTCTTATATGAAACTATTTAATAGTAATTAAATACTTAAATTGGGACTTGTCGTTTGCCAGTGGAATTATTTCAATTTCACTGTGGACATGTAGTGCATTTATACTGTTTTATACATTACTACTTCTCTGCTGTTGAGTGCTTTACAAATTTTTTATTCATTATCATTTCATTCATTCATTTTGTGGTCTGCTAGTTATTTTATCCCTTTATTTTGGGGGATTTGAGACGAATCGGACATGTGCTGTTGCTTGTAAAATGTGTTTTTCAGTCCGTTTTAGCGTGTCAGTTTTAGTGACTATTTATAGTAGCGTTTTCCGATAGTAATGCTTTGGCATTATGTAGCAAGCCAATAGTTAAGAGGGTATATGTTAGGAGGAAAAGAAGGAACAACTAACTGGATGTAATGTAACTGAGAGTTATTTTGCTAGTAGAAGTCAAAAGGCCTGTAACTGTATTAGAAGTAGCTGGTTGAATGGTTTTTTGTATAAGGAGGTGAAGTGAAGAGAGGTCACAAATTTGTGCTTCTCAATTTCACTGGGAACAATTGTATTCATCCCAATCCTGTCATCTTTATCAATACTGTAAATGTAGGGTCATATTATCACACATGCTAAAGTTTCTTCTGCTTACAATTTAACAAGGTACAAACTGTTGAAGAACAAGTTAGAGCTTCAGCTGAGCACAAACTTGGCGTTGCTAATCAGAGCATTACTGCTGGATTTTTTGACAATAATACAAGGTTGGTAATGCTGTGATGTATTCCACCTTTAATTTATTACAAAGAATCACCTCTGAATTTTCTTGTTCATATTTATTGCAGTGCTGAAGATCGAAGGGAATACTTGGAATCCCTTCTGCGTGAGTGTAAGAAAGAAGAAGATGCCCCTGTTTTGGACGATGATGCTCTAAATGATGTCTTAGCCCGCAGGTGCACAACTTTTTTATGCTTTTACCTTCTGTTTCTATCTGTGGCTTAATATGCCTAGTTATTTTCTAATGTGGGGTTTCCTTTCTCTACTTCCATTGATATTTGAACCTATGCCAATTTTTGACAATGACAAATTAGTAGGTATATTATGAATTTATAACATATATAAACGCAAAACATGGTGTTTTGGTGTAGCCTATTTTTCTACCAATTTTACCCTTACTTTGATATGTAACTTACACAATAACTTCCATTGAAATCACTATTATCATCTTTCACATAACTTCCTATTATTAACTTCCTACTTAACTTCCTACTATTAACTTTCTACATAACTTCCAATCAAAAATAATATTAAATAAAAAAATATCATTAAAATTTTACGTGTGTGCATTAGAAAAGCGGATAGACGGGCACACGAGTGTCCGTCTGGACGCTAGTTGATAGTAATTGCGGTAAGATATGCATGTGACTCTTACCTACCTTCATTTTAATTATAGGGAAGGATTCCTGATGTGTATTGTTGTCATTTAAGCATGCCACTCTTTCCTGATGTATCTATACAAGCATGTTATCTCTTTAACTGCATGGTCTATTGTATTGATTGTGATGGTTGAACTTCTAGCATCCAACTGTTGGTCTGTTACTGCTGTAACCGTCTTTATAGCTTCAATTTGTTACGTCAGTTTATGTTGTCGCAAAGATATTATAGTTTCTAGCTTGTATACCCAACCCATCCAAATTTTGTGTCAAAAAGAGAAGGAAGAAAAATGAAATGTGACTAAAATCTTGTCTCTGTTGGCAGTGAAGCAGAGTTAGACGTGTTTGAGTCTGTTGACAGAAACCGGAAGGAGCATGAGCTGGTATGCTGTTTATTATTTGCACAGGCTTTTCTCATTCGCATGAATATATCTTTTACCTTCTGTTTCTGTTAGAAGAATCTTAACGGAGCTCCCAAAAAATATGTTCCAGGTTACATGGAAGAAATTGGTGCTTGAACATGCAACTGATGGTTCCGATGTTATTCCTCCCCTTCCTTCTCGACTTGTCACTGATGAAGACCTGAAACAGTTCAATGAGGCAATGAAGATATATGATGACGTGCCTAAGGGTGAGGTAGACTCTAATGGAGTAAAACGAAAGAGAGGAGGTCTTGGGGGCCCTGATACTCAACACTATGGCAGGGGAAAACGTGCAAGAGAGGTTGTCTTTTTTATTTTATTCAGTTGGATTGTTCTGACCGTTGTATTTCTTGTCTGCATTTTAATCTTCCGCATGTTATGCTTTATGTCATCATTATACCTACATATCATCTGAGATTCCTTACGGGTAGTAGTCTTGCATAATAGTAATATTTATAACTTCACCTCCACCTCCCTGTAACTTTATTGGAAAAAAGAAGTAATTGAAAACACTCATGTTGTGTGTTAGGTATGCTATGTAATTTCTTACTGGGTTTGTTATTATTGTTTTTCTTTTATTTATTTTTCACATAAAACACTTTTAATGCACCAAAGTTACCATGTCTTTCCTTCTAAAAAGTCACTAATCCCCATCCACCATCTTACATTTTATAGGTACGTTCCTATGAAGAACAATGGACAGAAGAGGAATTTGAGAAGATGTGTCAAGCAGAAACATCAGACTTACCCATAGTAAAAGTGGAAGAGATGAGCCATCAAACCAATGCTTCCAGCTCTGTTGTATCTGCTACTATCACACAACCTGCTGCTACTGTCCTACAGCCTGCCGATACTGTCACAGAACCTGCTGGTACTGTCCCACAAACTGCTGCTGTGCCTCCACTGGCCCCGATTTTGCCATCTGTTGAGACTTTGCCGGTACAGCATGTTAAAGAGATAGCACCACCAGCAAAACGTGGCCGCGGACGACCAAAAAGAACTGCTCCAGTTAAGTCACCTGCGACATTAATCTCTACAGGAACTTCTGGAATTGTTCAAGTAGATATGCAGTTACAGAAGGGAAATAAGTCTGGACATTTAACATCATCTGCTCCTGATTCTGTTGGTCATTCTGCTGAAGTTACAGGTGTGGGTAGACTTATGCAGCAGTCTACCACAGGAGTGACTGCTAACGTACCTCCTGCCACTCCTCTGCCTACTATTCCACCCAATTCTCTGTCGACTGTAACACCTCCACCCACTAATATTGAATCTATGCACCAGTCTAATACAGAAGTGGCTGCTAACGCACTGCCTGCCATTCCTTTGCCTTCTCAGTCAGCTGCTGCTTCTGTTTCTGTACCTATTCAAGCAAAAGGACACGGGCAGAAAACTCAGAGCGGCCGTGAATTGCCTAGACGTAGAGGGAAGAAGCAGGTTATGATGTCACCTCCTGTGCCTGATGGTTCTGTTGGTCCTGATGTCAAGGTCAACGAGCAATTAGAAGATAAATTAGTGAGTCCTTCTTCAGGTCAGGGTATTCCCCAGAGTGAAACTGTTCCTAGTGTTGCTGTTGTACACCCTCCAACTGCCATTTCAGGTTCCGTTTCAAACAGTGAAAACAATAATTTGGGTGCTGGGGTTGTTTTGAATTCACAGCTACCGCTTCCTTTGCCCTCTGTTACTACTATGGCTCAAACTGCTCCCAGTTATCCATCTGTACAGATGCAAAGTAAAGGGCAAATTGGAAAGTCACAAACTGGGGCTGGAACTTCTCGGCGCAGGGGAAAGAAACAGGCAACAATGTCATCTCCTGTTCCAGTTGTTTTAGGTCTTCTGGGCAGGGATCCAACTTCTAATTTACCGACTTCATCTGGCGTTGTATCAGGCGATAAAGCCAGTGAAGTACAAAACCTGCAGGAGAACAATGTTCAAGAATCAAAATGTATCATCCAAGATCAAGCATCACAGAGTAATCAGGATTTAAAATCATTGGAAGGATCAGATGATTTAGCCAAGCAGGCAGAGATCCTGCCTTCATGTAAAGATAGTACAGTCAATTCTCCAGGTATATTGTGCATTTCTGTTTTATGATTTTAACATCACATTTATGTTTAAAAATGCCTTGTTGGTAAACTAAGGAGTTCTTTTGCAGGGCAAGATTTAGAGAAGGTTAAGAATGCTGATGTTCACGAGTCATCTGTGAAGATTAAATCTTCTGAAATTAACCCTTCTAAAGTTGAAGTTGGCACTAATTCAGGGAATGAAAATTTATTTGTCACATCATTGCCTATTACTGAGATTACAAAAGATCAATATTCAGATAACAAAGCTCCTCAAACAGATGTAGGTTTAACAACTTCCCCTTTGGTTGTCGACCCTCTGACCAATTCCTCGACTGGTAGTGCAACTACAGAAAGCATTAGTCAATCTGTAGATCCTGTGGCTGCAAAGATTGTTCCCAGTACATTAAGCACTGTTTTTCCTTCGGCACCAGGCTCTGAATCCAATCCAAGCACACATGAATCTGTGTCAGTCAAAAGGCAAGGTCGTAAAACTCAAAACAGACTGGAGCCACCACGGCGTCGGGGAAAAAAAGCAACTCCAGTTTTACCCGTTGCTCCTGATGCTCTTATTGGCCAAGATCCTAAATTAAGTCATCATGCTCAGATTTCACCAGTGAATTCATTGGTGGGTACAGCCACTTCAAATGTTACTCAAGCTCAGGCATTTGAGATTCTTTTGCCTGGTGGAGTAGCTAATAATTCCAAGAGAAAAGAGAGAACCACCAATCCTGCCCAAAATAAGCAACAGAAAGTTACATCAACAAGGATTGACAGTGCACCTGTTTCCTCAGATAAGATTGCCGCTTTAGGCCGAATGCAAAACGTCAATGATGTTGCAAGGGTAATGAAGGAAGTTTTCTCTGGAACTTGTTTGTCAAAGCCTAAAGCTGCTGCGGATGCCTTTGGTAGCCAGAGTGTGGAGGATAAAGCATGCTCTGCTACTGGTAGTGTTGAAGTACATGTTCATGAAAAACAATCAGAAGTGGCATCCGGTATGCAGAATCCGGAAGAAAACCCAAGTTTAGATACGCCAGCTACCGGAGCACCGAGCCTGACACCAACCATGCCAGTGAGTCGGAATAAACAACAACCTGGCATTGCATCTGATGAAAAAATAATTCTGGAGAACACGGCTCTGTCGACTGTCAGTAAGCCTGAAACTATTTGTTATGGTGAAGCTAAAGAAAAGGCTGATCAGACACAACATTATACTGAACACTCAACTTCTAAGAGTGAAATGGAGGCTCTTGATATAACTCCTCTTAATAATGACCGAAAGGTTGATGGCTCTTCTGAGAAACCTCCTACTGGTTGTGGCTCTACTGATGTTGAACGTCCTTTTGTGAATGATCATAATCTTGAAAGCCAATCTGACTCTATAGAGAAGTGTTCAAGGTCTTCCCCTATTGATATTGATGGCCAAGGATGCCCAACAATTCCATTGGCACCTGAAATTTGTAGTAATAACCCCGAGTCTAGTCAGGCTGATATCTGCATTCAGAGTCATTCATCCGCAAACAAAGCTCTTGATATTACAGAGAACACTTCAAATGAAAAATTGGAGCATTCTAAGCCATCTTCATCTCTTGCTTGTGCTGGTCAGGTTGAAATTTCTAGTGATCAACCAAAAGTGACATCTGCTGACCATGATAGAAATAATACCGCGCCACTGAATTTGAGCTTGGATCCTGCATCACCTTCTGAACCATCTTCAAAAGCATTAGAACCCTCCATGAAACAGAGTTCAGTGTCAGCTTCTGAAAAGGAAGGTCCTGTAAGCCCCAACGCCGTTCAAACTCAGAAGCATCCAGATACATTAGAACCCGTTGATCTGCGTGAGACTTCTGAGGTTGAGAGCTTTTCAGAGTCACCCTCCCAGGAAAGAAGGGATATAGGTGATTCCTCAAGTGAAACTATTGTGACCAATATAGTGGGTGTTTCTGGGATTGATAGTCTCGGGGGAGGAACTACGTCTGAAACTGCAATTCTGCCCCCATCAACCTTGGTAAAAGAGAAAAATAAGGTCACGGTCCCTCTGTCAACGGAGAAGGCCGTGGCTAACTGCTCTGGAGTCCAGGAGGAAGCAAAAATTGATAAAGTGGAAAGTGATGATCAAATGGATTCATCCACAACTTCACTGGATGAATTGAAAGATTCTAAAATTGTGCGGGGTGATAACTTTGAGGTTGGTGATTATACATTGAAAAGTTCATCTAACTTAATTGCGATGTCTGCGTCCCAAAATGACATGGAGGGATCTAATACCGATCAGAGTAATTGTTCTGATAGGTTGCAATCTAGCCATCTTATGCCAGATAGCCGAGACTTGAAAATCAATAAAATGACTGAAGATTGCCCAGTGACCATCGGTCAAATAGATGCTACTCAGGTTTCTGAACCCGAGGATGATCCAAAAAGGCTTACTTCTGAAAACATGCCTTCTTGCGTGCTGGTGAAGGAAGATAATGTTGATGTTCAAGACGAACAAAGAGATCCTTTGATTCCAGAGGGCAGTTCAAGGGATGGCACCGAGGTATGTCACGTTGTATGTTTTCACACTTTTGACTCTGGTAATCCACACCTCAATTTTATACTGTTTCGTATGTGCAGGATTCCATTGTAAATCCTTTACGACAAGAAAAATCAGCGTGTTCTGAAGCTGAGATGGTTGATCTTGGATTGACATCCAAAACCATGGGATTACCTTTGTCGGCAATGGAGGAAGATGAAGTTGACGTATCATCTGAAAGGGATATCCTCCGCAACCCACTTGCTGCTACAAAACCAGAAGATAATCAAATGGATGATAAAAAGGTATTTCATGGCATTTGGAAAATATTAGCACACTTGTAGTATCGTTTCAATTTTCACGAATTCAATTTTTCTGGGGCTAATTAAATAAACTCTATTAACATTGTAGGAATCAAAGCTTTTAGAAGCTGAGGTTGGTACATCTACAGTTATTCCTGGAAGCTGTACTACTGAGATTGCAAATGTATTGCAAGTCCCAAATTCCTCATCATCGGTTGAAAAAGAGGAAGGCTTATCTGAGAAAGATACAGATGGAAGCACAGCTAGAATGCAGGCTGCTGTAGGAGATGGAATTGAATCAAATGACAACTCTGAAGCTAACGAGACTAAACAGAAAGATCAAGTCGAGCAAGAAGAAAATGCACAGAAAGACTGATAAATACATCAATGAAAAGTGTATGAAGTTCAGGATCAAAGTAATGTTGTTCGAAATTCATATTGTAAATGGAAGCACCCTTGAGAAGAGAAGAGTTTGTATGAGAAGGGAGCAATCCCAGAACCTGAAACTAAGTAATGAAATCAGTTCTTGTATATATAATATATAAGCAGGGGTTATTTTGTACATATATATGTTGTAATTTAACATATATTTCCTACTGATTTTTCAACACTCGTCTAATCAGTTATTTTTGCAAACACTATCACAACAACTAATTTAATGACATTATTCTGGGGTTAATTCTTATCAAATAAATGATATTGAGTAAATGGTCAAGTCAATTTAGTTCAGGACCGTAAGATTATGAATATTTTAAAAATTTTCCATTCTATTAACTATCAAGTTTGTCTTATATTTAACAATTTACTATCAAGTAAATCTCTATAATTTACCAGATTATCATCAATCAGTGGATTTTTGCACTTGTTTAGATAAGTCTCATGGATTACCATCTCACTTCTCTTCGACGGTCTATACTGCATCATATGAACCTATTTATAGTGATTTATAAGTTATGTATCTATCACATTCACAATTGAAAATACTAAAATATTTTGAAATTTCAGAGATACATCTCCAGACGCACTCAATATACACACAATCTAGGTCATTCTCAGTGACGTCTTAGAAGTTGAGTTTTTTTAACCCAGACATACATCTCTGAAATCTATCCGTAGATGCATTTCTGTAACATAAGCGCAACATTATCAGAGAAAATTAATCAAAACACTTTTATTTTGACAAAATAAAAGTATTTTTCATAATATAAAATTAGCATTACGTAAATGATTTATGCAACATTACACTTTAATATTCAGGTGGACGCTTCAACATCTTCGACAAATCTTGAAATCGTCACTTTCAACTTGAGCGGAACTTTTGTTTTTGAAACGGAAAAATGTATTCCACACAGCCCTTACATCTGCATCCATTTTGAACTCAAAGTTGTTAAACTCAATCTTCCATTCGTTATCAATTGACGGTGAGCGATTCTCAAGCTTGACAATTTTTCGGTTGTCTCCGTAAGGTAGGAGATTATGGACTTCATATTTCAGATCTGTAAAAGAGGTGTATTCGTTGAACTTAAACTTTCGCCCGAGTGTTGCGTTGGAGAAAGAGATATTTGCGACATACTAGATGATGCTTATTTGTGACATTTGAGACATTTTCTGTTTGTGTGAAATAAAAAACCAAATTCCTAAATTTATAGAAGTTGTAGACAAATGTGGACCACAAATTCTATCAAACATTAGTGCTGATTTCAGAGACACTATCCGGTACCGTCCTATTGTTTTATTCTAGAGATAAATATCCAGAATCTCTCCTTAACCAAGAGTAATGAAACAGAAAACAAAACCTAATTGATGACCATGTTTGGCAAATGAAAAAAATATTTTGGCAAAGATAAAAAATATATTAAAATATTAACAAATTGTATGTATTACACTTCATTAATATTGAGATACAATTAGATACACTTATTTGTCTGGTTAAACAAAAAATTAAAACGAATCGAAAGATTTGCCGCCGGTTAAATCTATGAGTGGTACCACTTTTGACTTTTGTGCATTTGATTCTCTTTCAATGTTGCTTAATTTTTCGAACTCTTGCATCCTTTCCATAAAATGGTCCGACCAAGTCTCGACTCTTGTTGTTGAATGAGCTGCCTACTCAAGTGATGTAAGTGGTATAGAGCATTATGGTTTCAAGTAAACTCGAATAAAATGTTGTGATTTTGAAAGTCACCCAATACACATAATACAATCTTTTAGATTTTGAGGTGGGGCGGTGCACAATGGTAAAAATGTTTTCAAAAAATCGCATCGTGTAAGATCAATATAAATTCTATCATATACACATGCGATGGGGTGATTCATTTCAGAGAAACACATACATTTAGCCTCCGACGCCGGTCCACTAAGGCAAGGAACAAGAGACTTATGAGATGCATCTCCGGAATGTCTACTGTACTGATCAACTATCAATATATTTGTTGAAAATACATGGAGATGCTTCTCCGGAATATTTTTTAGTATTCATCTAGAGTGACACTCATTTGATGCACCTTAAAGTTGATGCATGGTGCGTCCGAAGACGCATCTTCGAAATATGTGGGGCAATTTCAGTTTTCCATAGTGTTTTTCCATCCCAAAAAGTGCTATAGGAAATTCCCTCATATTTATTGATGCACAAACCATGTTCACCTTGATTTATCTATTAAAAAAATGATGCTCCTACCACTATCTAATAGATCAAAATCATGGTTGAGACTCAATGGCCATACAAGCCAGATGAGGGGAAAACTCAAACCTTTTACTTAACTTCTAACTCAAGCAAGTGTCCTCCATCTCATTATATGTTGTCACACACACACGCAAACACACACACCACACATATATGCACATACTCACGCACAAGGACACACAAACACACACCAAAATGGTGTAATTAATGGAAAGCACAATCAAGTAGTTAAACTTGGTCTTACTTTGCTTGCTAATGAATCATATATCTTATTCACTGGTTTTTTGTCTCATCAACATGCTCCATACAATTAATCTTAACTAAGGTCTTTCATACACTAAGTTTTTTCAGCAACCAGCAAACTACTTCTTTCTCAAAACTGTTGGTTGCTATATTATCTCTTTTCTCAAATCATACAAGAATCACAAGCTACAATATAGGTCCTAAGAATACTTGTTTGTTGGATACTCTACCTCCCACAAGGGTTACTAATGTGTTTCTCCTAATAGTCTCATTTACATTTCTAAATATGCTATATGTAATGAGAATAAACTCTCGTACTAACTACTCACCTCACCCAACCTTATAGTTACATTAACAAAGATGTTATATATAATGAGAATAAACTTCCATACTAACTACTCACCTCACCCAACCTTATAATTCCATCACTTAACTCCATTTTTAGGTTAATACCCATTTTCACATGATCATTTACACCTTCTAATGACTTAACTCCTGTCTTACAATCATGTCCACCTACCACCTTCTATACAAATCCATCTTCACCAGTCTTTTCTTCCCCTTGTATCAACTATCATTCTTCTATAAAGCATATACCTCCACCTACGTCACATTCAAAAGAGTTTAAACCATTCATTCATTTCTCATTGCTAGCCAATTCTGAACCAATAAGTTATAATGGGGTGTTGAAAAGTGAAACATGGAAAGATGCCATGATTGTTGAAACTAAATCATTTGAAAAGAATCAGACATGAGAGTTGGTTGATTGACCTAAAATAAAGAAAACCAATGGTTTGAAGTGGATCTTTATGATCGAGATGGATCCATATGATACAATTTAAAAATATAAGGTTTGGTTAATGGCTAGAGGTTTCTTACACATATATGACATTGACTATAATGAAGTGTTTGTTCCTGTTGTAACACGACTTAAAACTTCAAATGAGATTTTTTTTTGGTAATGACATATTTTCGAGCTTGACCCTGTTAAGGTTTTGATAGTTATAAATATGAGTTTCTCTCATTTGCTGTAAAAAAAATTGCGTAATTTGTATAAAGTAGAAATCCTAGTGAGGAGTGAAGGGTAAAATTTCTTAGAGTTATATTATAGGGATTTGTAAGTCTTTTTTGGTTACCAAAGGAATTAGTAAATATTTTTATATTGATAGTTGGAGAGATTGAGAAACACTTGGATATAAAATATGGTTTGTTTTTGGGGAACTCTAAAGACTATTTTCTTGTAACTCATATTGTAACAACTCTTGAAGTATAGTGAATTGGAGAGTTGATTCTTCCTCAAACTTCGATCAATTTGATTAAACTGGGTAAAAAAATTTCCTATGTTTTCACATATTATTGTTTTTATTGCTTTAGGACATTTGCCTGTTTTCCATTGTTCTTTGTCCCACACATCAAATTTTTTGGTGCAATTGAACCATGAATAATTTTTTTGAAGTGGTTTTAGTTATTCTATCAATTTCATGACATGCGGTGCCCACCGTGGACAAAGGGGTATTGTTTACAAGTGAGCAATATTATTTCTAAATGGGATATTGAGAAATTTCCTAGAGTTAACAATTTTGGATTCTGGAAATTAAAGATGAAAGAAATCTTAACTCAAGAGAAATGTATTGAAGTATTGAAGGGTGATGCAGAGATGTCTGCACGCTTAACACAAGTAGAGAAGACCGAGATGATAGGTAAGGAAAAAATGTCATTATCTTGTGTCTTGGGGATAAAGTTCTAAAGGAATTCGCCAAGGAGAAGACTACAACTTTGAAGTGTTCAAAATTTGAATCATTATATATAACCAAGTCTTTGGGTCACAGGTTCTATCTGAAACAACAAATATACTCATTTCGAATGGTAGTGAACAAGTCCATAGTGGAGCAGTTAGTATAATTTCACAAGATTATTGATGATATTGAGAATATTAAAGTGAAGAATGAAGATGGAGACAAAACTCTAATTTTATTGAGCTCATTATCCAAATCATTTGATCACTTCAAGGGCACCTTTTTTATGGTAAGGAATGTACTGTTACTTTGGATAAAGTTCAGACGATTGTAAGATCCAATGAATTTTCAAAGGTGAAAGATTGATGATAATGGTGAAGGTTTGAGTGTCTCAAGAGGAGGAATTAAGCATAGAAGAATGTCCAAAACAAAGAGGTTTCACAAGTCAAAGATAAAATGTATTTGTTAGAAATCAGGTCATTTCACGAGGGATTGTCCTGAGAGGAGGGAGTTGCCTTAAAGGAGGATAGTTATCATATCACTAGTGTATTAGTGGTGTTGAGTTTGAAAACTAAAAAGGTCTGGATCATGGACTCATGTTTCTCTTATCACATGTGTCTAATAAGAGAATACTTTGAGGCTTTGAAGTTGGAGCAAGATGGAGTAGTTCTCCTTGTTGATAATAAGGTTTGCAACATTTATAGTATTGGTACA